CAGGGGACTGCCTGATATATGGTGTGCCAGCTGCTTTTCCCCATGGCAAGCAATACAAGGGAGAAATCTGAACAACCAAAATAGAAGCTCAAGCCTTTTATAACCTCAGATGAGAAAAGACATTCCATGATGCCCGCCTTATGCTTCCCATTATAAGCAAGTTACTAAATCAAGCCTGCACTCAAGGGGAGGGGAATCTATAAGGGTATTATGGATGAATACCAAGAGGCAGGGATTATTTTGAACCTTCTCAGAGGTATGCCACTACATGCTGGCTTATTTTGGCTTAAGTATGTGTGCATTGTAATGATTGTGTTCACTCCAGGACCCACGCTAAGAGCACTATTTAGTATGTTTCTATGATCCCTACAAGGAACGGCCGCAGATGACATCGGTGCTCTTGAAGCTGAGTCCAGGCAGCATTGCGTCTTGACTGTAGCCACATTTTATGGTTGAAAGCAGTTGCAAGGGACCAGAGAAGAGACACTCTACAGTAACACTCGATATTCACTCAGGAGTTGATGAGGGCAGCTAAAAAAACAACAGGGTACTAGGGGAAAATAAAAAACAAAGACAAAAAAAAAATCAGGCGAATTCCCAGAGGAGGCTAAAGGCAATGAAGCTGAGTGGCTAACGTTGACAAATACCACTACATGTAAGAGGACGAGCCTCCATAGAGGCAAGTGGATGAGGTTATTCAAGAGATGCTCATGACCACTGGATAATGTTCATGACACACATCTGCCACACTCCATTCGCTCATGTGTCTATCAATATACAGACCATGAATATCACCTCGCCGTGATTGTTAGGACTTGTGCTGCTTTAGACAGGGCTGCTCACTTAGCTCTGAGACTTCGCCTCCCCTCCGTGGAGGTATAGTAAGAGCTGGATCATCCAGTCATTGTGGGGTTTTGTTCCTTTGCTTGCTTGTTTGTTTTTCTGAGGCATTACAATACTCTCTTCCATAAGGTGTGCCATTTTACAGCCTTATCAAAAGTTCATATAGGCACTAGGTGTCTTCATCTCTTGCCAGACAAATCATAGTCTCAGACTGCGGAGCAGTCCGGGTGGCCATGGGCTGACACTCCTTAACGCGGCGCATGAATTCGCTTGACCACGTCACTTCCTTCCCGACACTTGGAATTTGCACTAAACAGAACCCATTCCACTCTTCTAGTGTCCTGCCCCATGATGGCATCAGCTCCATTCTGTTCTGCAGCCACACGCTGTGTGCACCTCTGAGCTCTGACAGAATGTAGCGGGTAGTCTAGAAGACACCAGCACTTTGGGGGAAGGTTTGGGAAAAGCAAACCCTGGAAGGAGAAAAATGGAACATGAGGAGGAAGGGGGAACTGTGGTCAGTATGTAAAATAAATTTAAAAAATTAATTAATTAGTAAAAAATGAAATAAATTTAAGAAAAGTCAAGCACACGGCTCTCGACGAAGAATACATCAAATACTTTTCCGTGGGGTCCAATCTGCTATCCAACTCCAGATAGAAGAATTGGGCTAAGCCGTCTTTATTTGCAGATGTATTTTATTACATTCATTTTCCCTCTGTTTGTCTACCCTGTAGCTTTATTGCACCACTGCTTAGTAATTTCTGGGGCAATTTTGACTTTTTGAGTTTGTTGCCTGCCCACTCTCCTCTCTCATTAACCCCATATATGGATTATATATGAAACCCAAAGTGTATGTAAGCGTCAGAGCTCACTAAACACCAAACATTGGCTGTTTCAACGTCGATAGGATCCTAAGGCTAAACAACTCATTGTCTTCTGTTTTCAGGGAGATATTAAGTAACATGTGATATCAATGGATGTGATTCTCATTAATTAGAATCTTAAGTGGAAACAGAATCCATCTTGTTGATACTTTTGTAATGATTGTGTATGCATGTGTGTGTGTGTGTGTGTGTGTGTGCACGTGTGTGTTAAAGCTGTTACCCATCTGGCAAACAATATAATAGCTCTCCTAACACAAACGGCCTTTCACTTTTTCACGTTTGATATCTGTGTACAATCCCATAGGTTATCTCTGTCCTTCAAAGTCTACTAAAACCATTACTATGATCAAATCGGTCATTCAAGAAAATTAATGTCCTTTTTAATATTAAACTATGACAGTGATGGTAAATTATTTCTCACGGAACTTTACTCCTATGGATTACAAGTGATGGTTTGTATCTCTGCTAAACCAACCAGAGATTTCAAACGTCAGGTGTTTTAATGCACTCAGTGTGTGTCGCCTACCAAACCTGCCCCAGCAACAATGAGTGCTGGAGAGTATTCCTAAATTGTGATCATGAGTCCAGGCAATCTGTAGCCCACTGCTCTTGCCAAACATTGAAAAGTATCCCACCCCATACTAAGGAAAGACCAAAAATTCCAAAGTTGAGCTGTGATTTCTGCTGTATGTGTGTGGTTTTTGTACCCTGGTAAAGTTGAAAGCACAGAAGGCAAACCATTCAAAGCCAGAGACGTCTGTATCGATTGTTGTGAGCTGGAACACACCTGTCACGCCTTGCCGTCTGCAGAAACAGCTCCCTCTATTTTCTTTGGAAATTGCTGAAGTATGTAAAACCTTGAGGAGTGTGCGAAGCGATAAATATTTAGAAAGCTCCTGACATTTTGCCGCTCACACACTATGTAATTTAATGCAAAATAACATATGAAGATATACCCCCTTGAAAGATGACGACCTGTGAATTCAAAGGTTCTAAAGTCGGTATCTGAATCCATGAAAATCAGAGTTTAGACAGAATCACTGGGAGGCCGTAATTTAACCAAGGAGTATGCAGTTATGCATTTATAACAAATATGTACCACAGGCATCACTATGTTTGCTGCATCTCTTACTAATATTGCACATTTATATTAGATATTATTAACCGGATGTGGTACTGATAACAATATCCTAAAGTTATTGACGTTTTAATACACCCCATCTGACACATATAGTATTGATAGACTTTCACTTACCTGCTCTTCATGTATTATATGAAAATTTATTATTTAATAATAATTAATATGCTCTTCATTCTTATCTATTTAATTTTCATTTTATTTTTACCTTTTTTATAAATTACTGTCTTGCCTGCAAAAGTGTTTTCTTACATTTTCTGAAGTTGGAAATATTGCCCATTTTAATTCATTGATTATTCATTGTTAAAACAGATAATTATTGAAATGTCCAAGGTAGCCTTAGTCCTAAGCGTAACTCAAACCCATGTCAGATGGTTTATACCCACCAGCTCCAGAGAAGGCAGTGAGTGTCCCTTCTGGAGTCATGGGCACATTTAGAGATACACTCATCCATGTAATGTTGGAATAAAGGCATCAATACCGTCAGCATAGACTTCTCCCTAGTGTTAGCTACCGCCATCTTGACCAAAAAGGTGGCTTTTCCAGCCAGTTGGCAGCCTTGGAACTAAGGGGAATATTTATTAAAATGTGCTGTGGTCTGACTAGACAATGCCAAATACTTTCATAATATGGAACCTAGAGCTAGAGTACATAAATGAAATTCTTCTACAGCAAAAAAAGAAAAAAACATGCCAAATGCCAACTACACTTTATATGCTCTTTGAGAGTCCTTACATTAATTAAATAGGCACACACCAACCCTTTTTTTAATGTAAACATAATATTTATCATTAATTTTTCAAAGATAGAATACTAAACTAAGGATTGAACAAAATCTACATATATCCCAAGTCACTGCCCTTTGCCCTGTTGTATTATATTTTTCTTACTCTTATTATTTGGATATTTAATAGAAGTTATCTGTTGGGGCAGTTAGCACACTACCTCTGAGAGAAGGTTTCTGAGAGCATCTGTCTTTTTCCAAATCACTTGTAAATCCCAATATAGATAATGATAGAAACGTCAAAACACAGTTGTTTTTTCCAATGCACTACTGTGGTCATCATAGGGTTTCCCGGGGAATATGCAGTCTCCCGGAGAAATATTCTAAAGTATGCTCCACGGAGTGGAGGTGAATGTCTCGCCGTTGTTAATGGTTAATATGTCAGTCACATAGTCTTCTAAATATTTTAAACAAATTGATAAAAATAATGTACTAAAATTTAATTTATGTTGGATCTATATACTTATCATCATATCACATAGTTTTTAGTTATATTTTCTAAATAACGTAAACAAAGAAGGAACATTGATAAACACACAGAAATATAGTAAACATGTATGACTTACAAATTTCTGAAGTTATCACTCCCAATCAAAAGCCCACATGAATTACTCGATAACTGCATGTTGCTTGATCAGTGATATTGCTGTATCATACGCTCTAGCTTCAAAACTTGATCATCTTAAAGTGTTGCACTTTTTCCCTAGGCGTGGTGGCACATATGATCCCTGCACTAACTAGAATACAGAGACCGGTGGACCTCTGTGAGTTTGAGGATAGCCTGGTCTATGTAATGAGTTCCAGGACAGCCAGGGAGATATAGAGAGACCAAGGTTCAATGACTTTTCTTTTGTTTTACACATCTAAATCCTCTGTGGTCCTCTCATACGCCATCAAGTTCCTCTGTGAAACATGGTTTTGCCTTGATCACAATCCAATGGAAAACATCACGGTTTTCAAGAACGTGAGTATTAGTAACAGTGTGATCAATCTTCGTATGACCTTGGGTCAAAAAGATTTGGCAAACGCCACTTCAGAGAATTCTCCAGCTTTCCTACGATGTGCAACCCAGAGTAATTACTGTTTCCTTCTTAAGACCATCCTGGTACCAATTAGCGGAGTAATGCTAGATCATTATGGGAGTGCGGTCATCGTCCACGGCACCGCGACATAGATGGCGTGCGTTTGAGGAATTCTGGTTTATAATTTGTGTCGCACAATTACCCCTGTTATTTCATAAGATGGAAATTGGAACTTTCCGTATGAGTCTTGTTAGAAGCATGCTAAGCGCTTGCCTTTGGAGCTCGGAGCGGCAGACCTTTAAACGACTTGTGTGCTTTCCCCTCAGCAATGCATCTCTTTGGCCTCAACTGGCACTTGCAGCAGACTGAAAATGACACATTTGAGAACGGGAAAGTGAACGCTGACCTCATGCCAACCAACACCGTATCGTTACCTTCTGGCGACAACGGTAAGAGAGAGAATCGCGGAGCCTGCGCTTTGTTTGAACGTCCTTCTTCATAAACGTGGTTGTGACCGTGCTTGCTTTCTGCGTATGTGGGGAAGGAGAACGGCTTGGCGCTGCTATGCATCATCTCTCATGAGCATTTTTTTTTTTGTTAATTTACTTGAAAAGTTGGACATTCACGCTTTTATTACAGGAATACTGTACTTGTCTGCCTGCGGGGGGGGGGGGGGGGGGGACTGGCGACTTAGCTCTTCTGCCTTTTATTGTTACGAGCATGAGTTTTGTTTTGGGCAGGCAGCTGGAGCACAGTTCAGAACGTCACCTCTCGTGGCACCTTGGGTATATTAAGTTTTCTTAACTGGACTGGTACCTGGAGTTGGGATACCTTATTAATCTTTCTATAAAAGTTTTTAAATATGAACTACATTAAAGGATTATAACTCACTGACCTTTTCCGCAGTTGCCCTTTCTCCAGACCTTTCAGACTTGGCACTTTGAGGCAATAGAGACTTTTCAATCATTTGTCTCTGAATAATGGAACCGAAGCAGCTAGACAATGCTGGATTTCATTTTCCCAATATAAAACCCCTCAAAAACGGGCACGTGCATATGTGTATCTGTGTTGCTCATAGTTCCATGTTGTTTGTGTGTGTGCAGGTACACTCCTCAGGCCCTGGTCCCCTCTGACACTTGAAGAATGTCATGATAGGTTATATCTCAAAATAACCTGCCATGTGCCATTCTCTTCTGTCACGTGATGAATTGCTTGCTTTAAGCCATTTTCCTTGGCTCTTCCTCCATTTCCTCTCTGGGATACGCGCACCGCACTTTCCCACCAGCAATGTCCCGCTCACCTGCCTCGTTTCCTTGCGAGACTAGAACCAAGGCAGGAACTCTTTTCAAAGCATCTCTTATCCACGCTTTCCTTTACTGCCGGGCTAGGGATTTGAACACGTTCTCACCACTAACCTCTCATCTTTTATCTTAGCAATAATTCTCTACGACAGCGGTTCTCAACCTGTGGGTCTTGACCCCTTGAGGGAGGATCTGACAACCCTTTCACCGGGGTCACCAAAGACCGTCTGCCTATCAGATATTTACATTGTGGTTCATATCAGTAGCAGAATTGCAGCTAGGAAGTGGAAATGGAAATACTTTTATGACTGGGGCATCCCTGCAACATGCGGAGCTGTATTAAAGGGACGCAGCATCAGGAAGGCTGAGAGCCACTGCTCTGTGGCACTTCTCTCCCGTCTTAAGGGGACTAAAGGGGTTTTATACCTTACACTTTTCACAATGCTAATAAATACCCCCTCCATATGGAACCTTTTATACAAAGAACTCTAATTCGGTATTTGCCATGTCACCACAGGGCAGCACCGTAGGGTGGGTTAATGGCAGAGAAGAAAATTTTCCTAATTGAAAGGGGCAATGCCAAGTTTCATACAGTAAACTTTAATTAGCGTAACTGCCATGCATTTTTATACATTGGTACCATGTGTGAGTAGATCAAGAAACGACACAGGAATTAAGATCTACTTCTTTGTGCTAATTGAAACTGAGACTATCTCTTAAAGCTAATGATCACCGCAAAGCCAGTGAAATAGTACTTATTAATTACAGAAGAGATTATTTTTACAAATAACAAATCGTAATTATTAAGAGTTCCATGTTTGCTGTGGACGTTTTGTTTATCATTAGCGTCCAAACTCGTTATTAAGATGAAAATACAACTAGGGTCGATGAACTCAAAATGTGGGATGCAGAGAAAGCTACAGGTTGACGCTCACTTCAGGCTCAGCCGTGGCCCCTGACGTTCATCTTCCAGGGAATGTTAGACCACATCAGCATCCCTCAGTGCACATGAGCGCATGTTCAGTTCTGAGTCCTTCACCAGCTGGTTGCTTGAGCAAAGTGAGTAGTCGTTCAGGTTTGCAAGGGCATTTAGAATAACTCTAGAGTAGAGTATTCTATTTATATCATATCAACTCCGTAGCACTAGAAGCACAAAAAGGACTACAGTTTCTATATAGTATAATCTCTAAGAGATGTCTGAAAACAGCTGCTAACCTGTTGACTCTCATAGCAATGAGAAATACATGTCCATCAAGCCTGCACAACCAGGCACATGTACATGTATACGTATATGTGTATATGTATGAATGAAACTGCTAAATTAATATTTGTCTTCACTTTGATAAGTGTGCTCCAGTGCTTTTTATTTATTTTATCTTCCTCATTCAAAGCTGATTATTAAGTAATTCCATAGTTTATGGAGAGCTAAAGCTTCAAAAACTACTTCTCTTACCAGACACATAGCTAACATTTGCCACTGAAATAGTATAAGTTTATCCATAGGAGTTATTCCCTCATTGTATAAATAAATCTTTCCCAAAGTGGATTGGTAAAGTCCTCCCCTCCCCGATTCGTTTGTGAACACTGGAGAACTGGCCCATCAGCCACCCAACAGAACCATGGTATTGATGGAAATTTCAGTTCGGGGGAAAAAGAAAATTAAAAAAAGGCTACATCTTGACTCTGACTTTGTTGAAAATTTGACCTAAAAAGTCACTTGCCTACTTTATTATTTCTCAAATAGTCCAAAGTCCCATCCATGTTGTAAAGAACAATTCCTTCTGTTTTTCAAGTGAAAACTCTTGGTATTTAGTTCTTCAGAGAGATGGGAGGAGACTATTTGCAAGAATGGAAACCTATAATCTGGCTCCTCTAGGAAGACTTCTGTGAGAAATTTACAATAGACGTGAGCCATCATCCACCACTTCAGATTTGCTAGCTGCCCAGACAAGCAGGTTACATGATCGCTTTGAAAATTCTGATGCCCCAGCCTTAGAGAAAGCCTTAGAAGCTGCCACAGAATTCACCAGAAGAATTAACTGTCATCATGCCACGCATGGTGAGGGATTACTCCCCGGGCTTACCATGCAGTCCTCTTACTCCTGGGGCCCTATTTCATTTGTATCTGGTAATCGTCACTCAAGAAACAATGGCTGCATTAATGACTCCATAATCTTCCTGCTTGCCTTCGGTCCTGCCTGCGCCAAAGCGCCTCAGAGGCAGTTACTGCCTCAAAGGAGACTCCATATTACAGCGCTGCCCTCTGCTCATTGTTCCCAACGCTTTCCAGGGCCGTGAACCGTAGGGTGGCAGAGCCGAAGTGTGGGTAGGGTCTCTCGCAACACTAATAGAAATGGACAGAGCGGATAAATAGGTAAGATTAAAGTTTGGGTCTCAAATAGCTTCCCTCTAGAAGCTGAAATTACTCCCTGGACCAACAGATTCATTTAGCCTAATGTACTGGAAAGAATTACACAGGACCACACTCAGATGCTGGCTCCCTCGCTTACTTACTTTATAACCAGTTACTTAACCTTCTGAGCCTTGATTTCTTCCCACGTGAAGAGGGACTAATAACACCTTCCTCTTGGCATACCAGCCTCAGCAGCCTGGCTCCCCACTAGACTTCCCTACAGTGTTCTATCATCCCCACTCCCCCACGGTTATTTCCCATCTCCCTAATCTGCCCCTAACTCCATCTCGCGTTCCATTAAATCATGTCCTCCAGAGGGCATGCTCTGGGTTTCCTATGAGCAAACCTCCACTCATACATATATTAGTTGTTCGTCTCATGTTGGAACAAGATACCAGACAAAAGCAACTTACAGAAGGGAGGGTTTGTTTTGACTCACAGTTTGACGGTACAGTCCACCATGACGAGAAGGCGTGGAGTGAGGTGGCAGGGGCGGCTGGCCACATTGCATCCCAGGGCTGTTGGCTGCTTTGCTTCCATAGTCAGGAAGAAGACAGAATGGAATGTTGATGCTCGACCCACTTTCTCCTTTTTGGTTCAGTCCTGGACCTCAGCCTGTGGGATGGTGTCACCCATATTTAATGTAGTCATTCCTACTTTGATAGCCCAATCTAGACACTCAGTTGCAGACATGATCAGAGATTTGCCCTCTGGCTAATTCTAGATCTGACTGGTGTACTAATCAATCATATAAACCTTCACAGTGCGTATTTGTGTATCTCCCCTTTCACCATTCGCCCAACATTCGAGGGTTTCCTTCACTGGCCCTCTAGATCCTACTCTGTATCTTATATGTCTTTTTGAATGCAGTCTCTCCAGTGCAGGTGCTGGAGAGGTGCCTGGGTGCTTAAGAGCCAGCATCCCTCCAGTAGCCAACCCACGGTCCATCCCTAGCACCCATGTCAGCCAGTCACCACCGGTTGTAACTCTAGCTCCAGCCATCCAGCGCCTCTGGCCTCTTGTGAGCACATATCCACGCACAGACTCACACATGTAGGCATTAATTTAAAATAATAACAAAATAAGTCTTTAAAAAAAAAAAAACCTCTCTCCAGTATGCAGATACCAGCCAGCCAGCATGTGGGCATTCCATTGTTCCTTATATTTCATGGACAGTAAAACGCCTTGACTTCTTCTTCAGCTCTCACCTCTGCTCTGCCGTTCCCTTCTTCCTCACAGGCAGCTTCGTAAACATGACATGTCGCTTCCCTGGATCCATCTCGTCTTTCATGCGCTCCTGTGACGGTCTTGTCTCTACAGCATTCCTTTGCCATAGCTGGCCTCTGTCACCGCCACCTTCGAAACTCAGGATTTGTGGTCATCCATGGCTGCCGAGTGCACCATTGAATAGGCCTCTTTTTCTCAGACTTGAGAGCTCTTATTTTTTACTATTCCTCCTTGGAATACTCATTCTCATAGAATGTACAGTGCAGCACCACACTGACCAGGTCTTTATTCGAGCTCTCGGGCAGCATCTGTTTGTTTATCCAGTGCCTTCCCTTTCGCCTGGCCACTAACCATCTCGGGACCCTCGTCTGTCACGCAATCACACTCGATCATGTCCGCGCTCGTCTTTAGTCATGGTCCGTGTAACGTAGACTCCGTCAGTAAGTACATCCTAGGTTACGTTCCTCAGCGCCAGACATCAACTATATCAAACCAATCGGTGCTTCTT